CAGAGTCTAATAGTGTGACCAGCGCTAGAGACCCCAACGTGTCCACCTGGGAGCAGGATTTGCCACGCATGTTTTAATGGTCTGAAGGGAAAATGGGTGCGGAAAAACGTAATACATAAGATTTCTCGCGACCTTTGCCCACGAATATTTCATTCGGGAAAAATATGGCGCAGCATGGTAGCAATGTGGTAGCTTTCGTGTTTACGAAGAGCATACGTGTACAGCATACATGAGCATCACTAAACCGTCCGCCCTCACGCTTAATCTCGCTTCATCCTGCATCGCTTTTGACACTTTTTACTTATTTTACACCAGAAGCATGCGATTTGATCAGTAAGTCCAGTTTCCTCGAAATCCTTCTGAATAGCTCAGAATTTCTATTTAGGAAGCCGACCCTGCAGGAGAAATATCATTTAACTCCCTGTTTACCACTCTAAATCTCATTTGACTCCCTGCTTACCACAAGCATTGCATGTAATTCGCCCTGCTCTTTCCAACGTGTGTTTCTGTTATGCTTGCAACACACTGGTGTACCAAAATAGGTGTGTGATGAATGCAATAAAAGCTTGAAGCATTCTGCTTAAACAAAAAGATAGGCTAACATGAAGCGATCATCCCGGGAGTTCAACGAAACCTTACACTATGGATCTGATTCTCCCCTATTGTTTGACGTTTATGACGTTTACCACAGTGGCTCTTTGCGAGGCATACTTTGGCTTTGGAAAACAAAGCACCACTCGATCCATGTGACGCACTGGTTCAAACTCCAACCAACCAACTTCTCGGTAACAGGCCCTTGCCCGCTGGGCCAATCACAAACATTATTTTATTCGCGCCAGTAGAAGTGCGCACGGTCGTTGTCATTATGGCGATAGTCGCGATTACAGGAAGAAGTGTGGTAGCGCTGGGCGGTCCTGTTACAAGGCGTTGACAGCGTAGGCTGGACTTGAGAATACTTAAAGTTGACAATTAATATCGTTATTATGTCTTGCCGGTATTGCAGTGGCACTACCCAACACTTTTAGTAGACGAACTTGTCCTGAGGTTTTACTAGGGTGTGTTTGTTAAACAAAAAAGTGGAACATTTCCTTTAACCCTCGCCCTGATTCACCGTGTTTATGATGCTTATTGATGTGTTGGGGGTGGGGTGGGGTGGGGTCGATGCATCCCTAGCTTTTCTAAACTAATGAGAATTGAGCTTAGCAGAAAACACCGGTGAATTTTATCAGCGAGATCGCCCCATTGCTCGTATCTTTTATACTGTTGGGTTAATATCTCACCCCATTTTGCCAGGTCAAAGACCAAAACTTCCCGAAACTTGCACTTTTCACTTTGCATCGTACATACGAGACCATGTCTTGTGTTGGCACAAAACATCAACATGCATGCTCATTGTTCAATTTTGAGTACAACTGTTTGTATCGTTATTTGTTTTCATCATATGTTTATGATATATGGCTCCGTCAATGCAGCAATGTTGCCCAGCCGCGCGCGTTCCGCGGCATCGCCGTTTGCCGCCCCGCGGCCGCGTCAAGCCGTAGTGTTAGTCGCTTTGTATTGTTCCCTGGAAAAACGCCGCTGCTTTTGCGTCAGAAAAGCTAGGAACACGTTTTGGTATACTTCGCGAGTATAATTTAGCATATAGTATTCTCATGAATCCGTGACATTTTAGATTGGCATACAACAGGGCTTCAAATGACCCTATATTGACGCTTTTACTATTTCTTAGATCTTTTTTTCACTATTTCTTTGAGAGTTTTTTAACACCTTTATGCTGGTCAATGCTAGTAACCAAAAAGATGCGCCATAGATACTTCAAATGCTACTGAAAATTTCGGCGCGATTATGAATCATAACGAAGAGGCACCCTCAGAAAGGGGGATCGCATCGAACTTCCTCACCTAACAGGAAGAAGATTAAGCGTCACTGGTGAGAGGGGGGGGGGGCCTCCGAGCCATGAGCACATATCCAGCCCAGGGCCCTTGTGCTGGTTAAATTTCCGCGGAAGACCCCTCCAATGTGCGTGTAGACCCCACCCCGGCCACTTTCCTTCATCCCATAGCGCTGAAATGGTAAATGCTGGCCGAAGGGGCTCTAATCCAAACTAGACAAACAGAACAACCATTAAGAGAACACATGGTAGACCGACACGCAACAATCGAGCATAGCGCAACAAATACCGACTTCAATGAAAACAATGGCAACTGCCAAAGATTACGTGAACCTCAAGATCTCACACTCACTGCACATTCGTAATCTTTGTCCAAAGCTAAATACATAAACGTCATCGCAAAACTCTGCTTTACCAGCGTTGTTTAGGCTCTTTGTGTTAAGAAATCGCTCTCTTCTCGCTGTGATGAACACTGATGTCCGCTGGTAAATTCACTTCCATCCTGATAGTCGTCGTGGGTCATCGAAGGCTTTCGGCCCGTGTTTCCGACAACCCTCAGCAGTGCAGCGCATTTGGCGCTGGGTCACGAGAACTTGAATACCCGGGATGTTTGTGAGGTTCGCCCAATGTTCGTGGCGCCCAAGGTTCGTAGCAAGTCACCTTTTACCTTACAAACGGTATGGCTTAGGGTAACCGTTCAGCTTAGCCAACTGTATTCCGTGCAGCCTTTGCGTGTGACCGTAGGCGGATGTTGCGACATGGGAGCTCGGATGATTTGATATCTCATTTGATGGCAGTGTTGTGGGCAGATTGAGAGTATTTTCTAGATTCTGGTTGCCCCGGTTTTTCAGTATGATTGTTTTGCTTTACCTTGTGCACTGTTGACAATGAGCTAAGGGAATGTTCCACATTTGAAGATATTGACGCAAGCTTCAAGTGATGGAATATGCGCCCTTATAGATATTGGTTTTTAAGTTGAAAAGGCTGCTCTAGACAACACAGTTTCTCTTTTTGATAGACATGCTCCTCAATACGCTATTGCTTTATTACGTCATCGTGCCTTGCACGACATCGCTTGTGAGCCAATTGGCGGCTGTTATATTTGGAAATCGTACTCACGAACGCCACTTCTGAACTACTCGACAACTATGTTTTGCCTTGTCTTCATCGCCACATGGACAATGGAATGACATTATTGTCATTCCATTGTCATGATATTGTCATTCCATTCCAATGATATCATTTTGGTGCCATGGATATCTGGGTGACCTTAAAGCAGTCTACAAGGAATAACTTTGGACGTCTTCGCGAGCGTGTAGCTCAGAAACATAAGAACTTTGTCATAACACGCTATAACTCAGCACAAGAACTCGTTAGCATAAGAACGTTGATCTCATACTGAAGAAATAGTTTTCCTTACAAATATGTGGCTAACAACTTAGGTATGCATTCAATGGATACCTACTCAATGGAAACAAAAACAGATAATGACCAAATGGCGTATAAGACATTGCGCAACGCGTTACATCATGAGCGTCACAGCTTAAAGGATCCAAAATAAGATACTCACTTGTCTTAAGCCTTCGAAATTTTACGGATGGTGAACATGAAAGATTTTTGAAATGCTTGTCAAACATTATTGATGTCATTTCGGAGCTCTACACGTGGGTATGGGGACAGGAAAGCAAGGGGTTATTTTCCCCACCCCTCCCTTTATGAACGTTTCACTTTAACGCAATGTCGATACCATGTTCATACTTGATATCCTCTTCAAACAGTTTTATGTCTGTGTATGCTTTTGTGAACTGCGCCAATTCATAACATGATGACAAGTAAGCTGACACCAAGTGAGCACTAGAAAATGAGGTTAAGTAGGACGAAATACCGACTATGTTGGCATGTTTATCTCATGTCCTCCGTAAGACATGCTTTCAAAGATGCAACCGAAATCCGCGTCGTGAAACTTTACCTTCATACGCATCCATATATGCTGTGCGTCTTAGCGTGTTAGCGCCATTCACTGTCCCCTCCGCACCAAATGGCTCCACAGTGTCCGACGAGGCCATGCGATCCAATCAATGACCGTTATGACAAAATCCCTGCGCTGTTTAACCTTCGGAGTCAATAAAAATCAGAATGGATTTATAATGTCCGCCTTAATTCCCAACATCAGGAAATGTTTGTAACGACCGGTGCCGTTGAGACGATTGGCACTCGACCGTCCCTTTCGCCTCGTAAATGCGCGAGAATTATCAACAACCGACATTCCTGCGTAATGGCCGTGCTCGGCTGGCTACCAGCCCGGGAATCGCGTGAGGTGTTGGATCCGGTTCTTTGGCCGGGCGGGCGGCGGTGGTCGCGGGCCGCCGAGAGCCGCGTCCACCGTGCCGGGGCCGTTTTTGCTGGACCGGCTCGCACCGATCGGTTGCAGCGCACCGAAGGATTCGGCGCTGAGGCGGTACAGTTGGCTGTTGCGCGACGTCTACGCACGCTCCAGCGCCACCCCACGATATGCTGTGCTCGACCTGACCGACGGCCTGTTTGTCGTGTCCGAGTCAACCGACCCTCCCATATCTTCCCCGACAGCATCTGCGCCACCTCGGCACGCCGCCCGCCCAATAAATCCCGTTTTTCATGCCATTATGTCGTATTTACTCAAGTTTTTCCCTCGAATTCAATGATCACCGCGTAAAATCTCATCCGAACTCATCGCTATCACCAATCATTGCCGTGGAGCGGGCGGTATTGTGCCGGGGCCGCCGATTGGCCGGCCCCGTCCGATCGCCCCGCCCCCCGATCACACGGCTCCCGCCCCCAGCGATGAGCGCGGCGGCGGCGCTCAGTCGCCGCGTGCCGCCGCCGCCCGGCCGAGCCGACAGCCGAGCGCGGCCGCCTGGGCCCGGCACCAGCGGCACCAGCGACACCAGCGCCGGAGCGCGGCACCTTCAGTGTCAACGGCGCCGTGACGGCCGCCGAGCTGAACGGACCGCAGGAGCCGGGCCGGCCGGCGCGGCCCGCCGCCGCCGCCATGTCGGCGCCGAACGTGACCGCGGCGCTGCCCTCGAGCGTGCCGTCCGCGTTCACGCGCGTGCCGGCCGGCGAGCCGCGCGCCCGGCCGCCGCTCTCGTTCAGCATGGACGCTCTGCTGCGGCCTGACGAGCCGGCGCCGCGCGACGAGCCGGACGAGGACGAGGCGGCCAGCGAGCGGTCGGCAGAGTCGCCGCTCAACGTCGAGCGGTTGTCGGACGCCGAGGAGGAGGATCCGGCGGCGGTAGCGGCGTGTGGCCACGCGCCGCGCGCCGCCAGCCCGCTGTCGGAGCGGCTGGCGCAGCAGCGCTTCAGTCCGGGCCCGCCGGCCAAACCGCCGCCGCTGGCCGTGCCGAACGGCCTGCTCGGCCAGCGGGCGCCATTCGGCCTGTACCCGGGCCTGCACGCCGGCATGTGGCCGCCCGCCCTGCAGGGCTACCCGTTCTTCGGCGGCAACGCGCTGCCGCCCAGCCTGCAAAGTAAGCCCGGCCCCGGCTTGCCGCGTGCCCGTGCCGCCACGTGCGTCGCCGCGTGGTCTGCGTGTGCGTCCGTGTGTGTGCCCGTGTGTGACCGGTCCTCGGGCTGCCAGCTGCGCCCCCAGCCGCACGAGGCGACTGGGGCCGGCTCACCCCCGGGTGGTGTCTGTCCAGCTTGTGTGCGTGTCCGCCACAGTCCAAAGCAGTCTGTCATGCGTGACCGCTCCTCTAAAAGGACCGCGCTCTCTCCGCACGCCGCTCCAACAGAGCTGGTTGCATGGGTCCTCACTATGAGTATGATGGTTCCATATTATCCGGTCATGAGCGACCCTATCAAAGCCATGGTCCTCCAGCGAATTTGTGGCCTTGCTAAGTTTACAGTCATTCCAGATGAATGTGTCCTATGCGTCGTTATTTCAACCGTACGCATTTCGGGAGACTCGCCATTTGTCTCTGTTTCGACCATAAATCCGTTCGAAGCGGTCCTGAACGAGCCAGACGCATGTTACGACTAGCAGTAGCCTAATGTGTTCGTCAGGTTGTCCTTTGTCGGGCGTACTAACGCCACACGATCACTGAGCGGAAGTATTTGTGTGGTGCTGCGAGCCAGCTTGCCTTTGACCGACCTCTCACGGCGTTCGGAGTGCACAACGCAAGGAACACTATATTTTTAGGAGGTCATGTCCGTTTCAATGATCCACGAGCTCTGAAACTGCCTTATTCATTGTGAGAAGGTTAGATGTGAGAAGTGAAAAGTGAGATGTGTCCGGTGAGAAGGAAGTCAGTCACTCGGTGGTCTTTTGCTAGAAGTATCTCAGCAGGTGGGATGGTGGTGACACTCACGCTAGCTAAGCTTATCAGCCTTTCTCCATTTTTCATGGACACAGTTGTCCCTCTCCGTCATTCCTTCGTCTAGACTAGACCTTCGTATAAAGCTTCCAATTAAGTCACGCCACAGTTCGCTTCTAAGTAAGACCCAGATCGATAATCATATTCATTATTCATCTTCTCAAATCAGTTCCACTGCAAAATGGTTTGAAGTCGGTGAATGTTTCGTTTCTCTTTTCATACGTGTAGATACATTACCATTACGGCTAAGCCAGACTAAATTTGTGAGAAGTACAAAGGAATAAAAAAATGTTGTTGATCACAAGCTACGCGTCTATGTGATTTACATGATACGCATTTGTGATATGATACGATATGCATGAGGCGCATGCACCCATCACTGAAAAATATTTTTATTGCGCTTTCATGGCTAGGCTTCTCTCAAAAGAACTACAAAAAAAGAATTCGTCTAAATGAGAATTCCCGTCTTTGGTAATTGTTGTCCCATTCAACCTACAAGGAGCATCGAATGGTCACAAACGGTGCCTACACACGATTTGATCAACCAGGTATGGTCTTCCATCTCACACCTTTTTATCGCATGAAAACCATGTTTACTCTGAGCTAGCATGAACATTGTTAGCCGTTCTCTTTTCACGAGGCGAAAGTCTAGACTAAAACGAAGCATTAAAAGTAAGCTGTCATTACGCCGCGGAAACCTCAAGGTTTAAACTGGCAACAAGCGATGTTTTTGGCTTCAGATTACAGGCCAATGCCAGGTATGAATTATACTACGCTGGGAGCAAGAGGCATGCAACTACATTGAAGAGCCAATAAATGGCCGCAACACCTAACAACTGCCTATCACGCTTCTGGAAGCAGTACATGGAAAACTAGAGCGTTCGCCCAGGATCACCATGACGTCGCTGGGTCAATGGAGCCCCTGCATGACGAGCAACCATAAGCAATTATGCATTGATGTATGTACAGGCCGGGCCGTCAGGGAATAGATACAAGCACTCTGGGCCGGCGTTGTCCGAGCCCCACTAACCATTTAAGCAGATTTATTAAGGTGAAGACTAATGTTGAGAAGCATTCGGTCCCAGACAGTGGGATTTGGGACCTCAGTGGGCAAAGGGGAATGGCAGCATCCCTGCATTACCTTGCATATGTTTCATGAAAATAGCATTGTCATGTGATGCTTCTGGTACCCCGTCCTTTCCCAGGGCCCAGACATGCAACAAGTGGGGATGCCTGCTGGAGATGAAACTTACCTCAGGGGCTCCAAAAGTCTTATCTGGTTCCGACGGCAACGCAAAGCAAACTCAGAAGATGGATGAGTGAAGTGAACTTTGCATGCTTCAAAATCCAGCATCTGTCCCCTCGTATCCATTCAAAACGTGTCCGTGACCTTCACGCCCACACCTGGCTGATTCCGCCTTCCGATTCGACAAATGTCCCACTGCGGCTCAGATGCCACCTACGCCCGACGCCCTCCGCTGCAGCCCCTGCCGTGTTGACGCCGCCGGTAGCGCTTCAGGTAGCCGCCTAAGCTCGATACCCTGCGCTGGCGTGGGTGGCGTCAGCTCCTGCCGTGTTGACGCCACCGGTAGCGCTTCAGGTAGCCGCCTAAGCTCGATACCCTGCGCTGACGTGGGTGGCGTCAGCTCCTGCCGTGTTGACGCCACCGGTAGCGCTTCAGGTAGCCGCCTAAGCTCGACACCCTGCGCTGGCATGGGTGGCGTCAGCTCCCGCCGTGTTGACGCCACCGGTAGCGCTTCAGGTAACCGCCGACGCGCTTCGCGTTCGGTGCGAGTCGCCAGGCAGGATGACCTTGCTCGGTCGGAAGCTTGTTAACATGTTAATGTTAATCGCATTATGCCGGTCAGGTGAGAGAACGAGTGTTAACGAGCTCTCAAACGCTGTCGTGCAGCCGCGCAAGGCTATCGCTGTAATCCGCCAGTGCAAGGCATCGTCTCAAGGTCACAATGGTGTTGCAGCAGCGACCATGCCATGGCCCAACATAACGTATTTGTCTTGGGGGTGTCCACCGGTGTCAAGAAGCAGTCATGTGACTCAGAGTAACTGTAACGTAACACCTGTTCCTGGACATGAAGGCCGGAATGTGGAAGAACTGGGTCCGCCGAAAAGACATAGTTGATACGTGGACGTCGCGACATCATCTCCCACGCCATATAGCAGGATTTCAGGTCGGGGTGTTGCAGTGCCATCAACCTGACAGAAATCGCAAAAGTGGCAATATGTCTGCCGTTTTGCATCTTTGGGCGCTGGAAAACTGTTTTTAATTAAAATTGTCACCCCTCTGTAAACGCATTGCGTCGTAAGTTTATTTGGTAGTCACGATGATTTTCAACTTAAAAGCCAGCTCAAAATGAAGAAGGTGCAGTGGCGGTATGTTGCAAGGTACGAGGATATTGATGGGGTTCAAGTATATGACAGCTCAAAGGGAGTTGACCAGCCCAGTTCGATAAATGAGTGTAGGCGGAGGAGTATTTCCGTTGTCCTGCATTAACTGGGGGAAAAAAGACGGCTTTTTAATCCAAGTTTTCGCCTCGCTGAAAAAGCAAGCAAGCATAATTCCTTTAGGGGCAAACTCTTTTTAAAAGTCGGCGAGCCCTTGTCAGTACGGGCTTCAACTCAAGATACAACGTCGAGATTGCACGTGACGTGGGGGCGATGCCACCTCACTGCTGAGCTAGGGACAGGCACGACCAGTGGACTTCGGTTATACGTGCAGCTACAGGTGGTGGGAACATCCCAAAAAGTGAAGAATCAAACTCGGTTTAAACCAATGCCTCTCAAGTGTCAGCACAGGGTTTAAAGGAATGCTGCACCTTGGTACTCATTCAGCAATTCAGCAAATACAATTTAACCAGGCACGCTGGTACCAGTCCTTGGGTAGAGCGTTGTATCCCTTTGGTATTCAACGTAGAGCTGAATCAGCAGCAGTATCCTTAAATCGCGATGAGATGACAAATCCGTGAACAATTTGGAGATCTTATCTTGTTAATCTGTCACAAAACTGCAGCACGCCCCGCCTCCGGGCTGCTCCTTGTTTCCGCCAAGCAGCACGGGGAGTGGAAAGACTATTCAACAAAAAGGCTGTGTACCATCATGCCATACTGGACGTACATGACGTCATCAGGGTACCGGAAGGGTAGTGGTCAAGCTGCGCGTCTGGGAAGTCAGAGGTACGGGGCTCGGTCCCGCGTGGTGCCTTCATGTTAAGGTGACAGGCAGGCAATGTCATAAAGCCCCAGCAGCTGAGCATGCTGTAAAGCGCCAATGGCAATATGTACATTGCATCGCTGCTTGCATAAGTGGACGTCGCGTCTTATCCTCGCAAAGACAAGGTTTCGTGGCCACTCAAGACTGATCAGGGGCAGGCCTCTGTACCTATTGTTATGCCTCTGTCTGCTGTGTTTGGGCCTGGACGGAACCAGCGGATAAATGGGGCACAGCTAGGTAACAATAAACCCCGTAACAATATTTTGATGGTATTGGTAAAGCAATTTCGCGTCTGAGGTCACCATCAGTATTTTTAGGTTATTAACATTGTCTTCGTTTGCCTCGAACTTGTCATCAAAGCCGAATTATTATTGCGCTGAACGAGGCAAACATTCGGAGCTTTTTTATCAAAAATGCTGCCTTTAAGTTGCATTACCAGTTTGTTGACGCGTAAGGATTTTCTGACGCAAAGTGGCACTTTCGAGTAAGAGAGTAACGCTAAAAATGGCAAATACGGGCAAAAGAACAGCCAGAAGTGTGTGAAAGTTCGGGCGGTATAAGAGCATATAAAACCGACAAATAAAGCTCCATAGCATGTGCTACGACATGCAAAGAGTACGTGGCAACGTGAGTCACCATTTTTGATGACCCTTCCAGGCACAATTATTATCCGCAGGTTATGAAGCAACACTACCAGGTCTTGAAGTGAATACAGCCAGCCAGAGCTACCTACGCACGCTTCCGGATTTCCTATCACCAACAGTTAGAAATGAAGGCCAAAGTAGGTCAGAGACCGGGGACCTCAAGGCGTCGCCTGCGTGTCAGGGAGAAGTAACAATTCGGCGATAGAAAACCAAAACGAAGAAGGAATAACAGCGGTAGGATGCATTACAGATAGCAAATGCCACTTTGAGCCACGTTTGGAC